GAGTTTATAAAATGTATTTATTAAAAAAATCTGTACGTTTTCGTGCATAAATGTTTTTTAATATTAAGATTCATCAGATTTTTGGTTCAGTTAGAAAATAGTGCCCATATAAAGAATTCCATCCAATTTCAAGTATGTACCATTAGCCATTTTAAATATCATGCGCGCAAGATGAAAAAATGACGAAAGTTTTGTCACAAAGCGGATTTAAATTACAAAAATATTTGTGGCAACACAAACTTTCTGGTTACTAGTTTCCAAAGCAGCTATATTATGTAGTCAGCTGTAAAAAGGTGGAGGTAATTACTTTTAAAATAAGTAAAATATCTCAAATCAATTCTTGCAACAGTCACATAATTCGAAGCTCATACGGTGTTTAAGGTGTATGAGCCCCCTTAATAAGGGTCAAAATATATAAAATTGGGCAAAAAAAAGAAGCTATAATTTGAATAAAATTCTATCGATTTCAATTTCTCATCTTTGGGAACACACTTTATTCGCGGTAGCGTGCATACATAGGTAATCAAAGAGCTTTAGAAGACGTAAACGAAATCATGTCATAAAAATTCGGTAAATTCTGTGTGTACTCTTGAGATGGCTGTGTCTAATATGAGCTACAATGCTCAGCTTTACTTACAGCAGTTTTCAGAGTTATTACTAGCATTGATTCATCTCAGTCACCGAGATGAGAGTGAATGATTGTGAAAATGATTCTTTACAGACAAGGTTCTGTTCTCGGATTTTAAATTTAGTCTGAAAGTTTCCACAGCAGTTCTCATTTCATATTTATTAAACTAAGGGAAATATTCAGACTCTTTAATTTATTGTTGCTCTTTACCGTTTCTTATTTCCACATTCCCACATCTGCAGTTTAATAGTGATTAATTCCACATCGTCATGTACATTACTGATTTCTTTTGCTTCTTATATGTATGGTTACACATTATAACATATTTTTCTGGCTTATCTTCTGGTTCTGAAAAGCACACCATTAAATATTTCCTAAGTTTACAATGAGCAAATAATTACTCCCTCTTTCTCTACTTGTATATACAGAATGTGCTATAAAATCCTTAAACCTTGAAGAAAGCCTTTTGAAGTCAGGAATTTGCATTTGTGAAAGTTTTATCTACCCACAGTAAAGTGACTTTGATGTAACATACAGACCCTATTGAATGACTAAGTTTGAAAACTAGTTCACCGTATAGTAAATATTTTGAAAGATACCAAAATAATGTCAGTAGAAAGCGTATACACCGTCAATGATTAAATGCAAAATAATGTTTTATGTACATTAACAATCTGAAGAGCATCCTCATATGCAGATACTCCTGTATCCACGGGAATAAATGCGTTCATGAAACTTGTGTGGTATACAAGATAGAATGCAAATTTGCGATTAAAATTAACTAATCAAGGTGCAATTTATTTTGCAAGAAGTTTTGGTAGCTGTAAGGAGAAGGAACGGGGGACGTGGGCACTATGCCTCTACCATACGGTTAATTAGTATAGCACCACGTCCACCATGATCTAGAGAACCCTTAAGACAACGCTAATTCAAATACGTGAGTACATTATTGAAAATGAATGATTGATTACAAACAATTGTGGTATACCTTGGCAGTAAAATTGTTGCATTTGTGTAAATAACGAGTTGCATTTGTGTAAATAACAAGTGTGTAAATAACAAGTTGCATTTGTGTAAATAACAAGTTACGATGAAGACAAAGATGTAATGATAGTCTGTAAAGTGCTAACGATTAGTATTCCAGTTGTTGGCATTAAAAGAGGATACTTCCTGCTTGCTGGTAGCTGTAGGGAATCATGAAGAATAAAACCTCGAAATAATTTTCTAGGATTATAAAACGTCAAGCTACGCGCGCTCAATGTATCCACTATCTGCCGAATTACACATCTCTATTCTATCTAGCAGTTTTTTTATTGGAAGTTCTACAAGTGAAAGGCTGAAGAATAGGAACCTAAAATAATTTTCTAAAATTATAAAATGTCAGTTTATGCATGCTCAGTATGTATACTGTCTGCATAAGTACATATTTGTATTCAGTCTACAAATTTTCATTGAGTATTCTGCAGCCTTTCATGACTTAGCTTCGTGACACAGTTGAATAGTAAGAGTTCGTAGAACATCACCATCGTGGAATGGCAAACTGTGCATCTGGAGTTTCACATAGTCTCTAGACAAGACGTTCAATAAGATCATGTCAGGTGACTTCGGTAGCCTCTCAGAATTTTCTCCATAATCGAAAATTCTGTGCCTGAAATTATTCGACAAGAAATGGTACTGATATGGCGGGAAGTCATCATTTTGAATATATGCGGAGCGCAGACTGACTAATGACAATATATCTAAGATGTCAGGCACTGTGGTATTACAATGGATGAAGGTGCAAAGTATTACAGTATTACAGAAGGTATTAACAGTGGATATCTAAGTATTATAAAGTATTACAGAAGGTATTACAGTCGATATCTAAGAGGTCGGGCACTGTGGTATTACAGTGGATTAACCTTAAATAAGATATTATGGTAGTACTTGGTAGTAGTACCATAATAGTATCTTCATGCACTTAAAGTTCGCTCGTATAATACAGATGCTATGAAGCTAGTGTTCCAAATTCGGCACCAAACCTTTAGAGACCGCTATACCTGTTGACAATGCTCTTATTCCCAAGATGAGTTTTTCGTGCATCTATCTCTGCGAATACGTTGTCGAAATTAACACTCCACTGCGATGGAATTCTACACCTGCCCTCCATATAGTGTTAGCCAAGATATTACGCTAACACAGAGTGTGATCGTCACGAATTATTACCAGTCGTAACTTCACTGATACTCGTATAAGAGCAATCAATTGGTTAGTATGGCATTATGCAGTCAAGCTCGCAACTCATGCAAAATTTGTTGTGTTGGGCCAAATACAACACTATACGTAGCCCTGACGTCTCTCATAATACAGGTGATTGAGCTAACATGCACATCTGCAAGAACCACCCTACTTGAACCAGGGCGACTTTTAATGTCTTCAGTTTTCTAAGCCTGTAAATGACCCTGCAATACGATGAGCACAATTAACTTTCCAGCACGCGCGCGTCGTATTTTTTACGACATCCGTTATTTTACCGTTTCTGGCACGAAAAACGACAGAAATGAGCGAATATCGATAATAAATTTGTTAAAAAATTAAATATTAACCTTATTATTGCAAAATACAAATGATATCACATTTAAATATAAGTAAATTATTTTAAGGTTCTTATGCTAGTGAGATGGAAAAGCAAAGATGTATTTCATTATAGAAAATTTTAAATATATTATCTAATAATTATATTTTAAAATCGAAAAATATTTGTCTATACGTGCCTTAATATCATCAAAGGCAAGTATAGACAAATAAAAAAGGAAAACACACTCACCTTGGTAGGAAAAAGAAGGTTTAGCATTACTTACTTCTGCAAGGAAATTTACTTCTTACTGATTACATAAACGCACTTTAAACTAACTATAATATTTTTATTTATTTCTAAAAAAATAGAAATAAAAGGAAGTAAGGAATGGAAATCGCTATTGTTCTCCCATCCAAAGGTTTCATTGTCTTCCTTTTCCTCATCAGATAATTCTTGAAGAATGCGAGCAAAATCAGTTTGTTGCACATATTTCTTTTGTCATGAAAACCGATATAAATGTTACAGGGTCAAATGTATAATAATTAAAGTAATACACGGCAATTAATAACACAAAATTAGAAAATATTTGCGAAAAAATATTTTACGAATTTTCACCCACGACCACGTGCGTGTCGTAACTTTCACGAAAAAGCTGCCACGTAGCACAAAAGCCCCCCCCCAAAATAAAGAAAAGTCAAATGACTTCCTGTTGGCACATTCAGTGATGTCGGGAAAGGTAGAAAGGAGGAATAGAAATGATTTTCTGACTTCTCAGCTTCGATATACGAAAAATGTGCATTAAAAACAGAATTTGTCTTAAATTTTGCGCATATGCGCGTGCTGGAAGGTTAAGTGAACGTAATGCATATTTTTTTGCGTAATGACCGTATTTTCCGCACAAGACAGCCATCTCGCCTTTCTTCTAGTTCGAATAACTATCCATATTTATATTCAAAGATCCAGTTTGCGCAATATTTGGCAATTCATGCTTACCGATGAGAAAGGTAACAGAGTTTTGATTTGTATACTACCTTTATAACTGTTTTAGATGCAAGCTTCATTTGAAGAAATTATGTTTTTCCGTGTCATTGGGGACATCTACGTCGTAGATCAGATACAAGAGACTTGTATTTTTTATTTATGTAATTAATTTTTATACTGCATTTACTCTTAAAATGGTGACGTTCTAAAAGTTCGCTATTGCGTTTTTTTTTTTTTTTTTTTTTTTTTTTTTTTTTTTTGGCTCTGTTTCTCACAGCTTTCGTGAAAGAATAGCGAACTTCAAATTTCACATTCAAAGACACTGCAATCAGTCTTACATAGTGGAAATTAACTTACGCAAAGTTACTATCTGCCTAAGTAAAGGAATGCCTTCATAAAGGATTTTCAAAGAGAAAGTGGCTATTATTCACATTTCACTTGAGGATATACACAAAAATCAGCAAGGGAGAGAGCTTATGTGCCTAGTTCGAATCGTGTTGAACCACTAGTATTCAGCGGTCTTATCCACTCAGTCAATTGTTAGATCTGTATATACGTATAACGTAGCAATTTAATTTAGGTAGACACAAGGTTATATAGATCTAGCTTTCAGCATTGAAAGCTTAATTCTGTGTTTAAGGAACTTACTTTACATTTTATTATTGTATAATATCTAAAATTTCTTTTTAAGAAATAAAATATATTTTTTTACAAACATATTATCGTTTTATTCTTTTTAACTTTTGCTTGCGAATAAATGGAAATTTGCATCACTCGGAAGAAGAACACCTAATTTAAATGTGTATGTATAAAATAAATGAGTTCCGAGTTCACTTCTCACTACAGACTCTTTTTGTTTTCAACATGTTGGCAACTGTGTTGATCCCGTGTTTTGTTTTTGTTTCCTGGAGTTATGGCGCTCTTAATGTAGAAAATCGAGGTACGTTTTTCACTTCCTTTATATACTTGGCATTTCTTTATTATTAATGTATTATATCTGCAATTTTTATTCTTCTAGCTTAATTAATATACTGAAAATATTGTAATTAATGGAAGTTTTTCTTTGTAGTGCAAATATCAAACCTGTATTTTAAATTTTTGCTTTCAGTGATATTTTAATTAGATAAATAGGACATTTCTTAAACAAGATTATTTAATATAATTTCGAAGATTGTTATACGATGTAATTTCTCGTATTAATATCCAATATAGACATATGTAGTATTAAACTATGATGTCTGGCATTTAGTGTTCATTTGTTATATCGTTTGCTCGTCCATTTTTTTGGAAAATGGGCAGTTTAATAATGTTATTCCTAGAAAGTAATTTAATAGTGTAACTGCATATTAGCACGAATTAAATGCTACTATTCTATGTAATTCCATAATTTGTATTTAATTTCTTGCCATCTTATATCCGCCAAATACGATTTTTCAAAAGAGAAGAGTAATTTTTTTCGAAAGAGAAGTCATTTAATTGGTAACTGATATCAAATTTTAACTCTTTGTTATTAAGTCATCTTTGCATGTTCCATGCTACTCTATTAAATGATATTCGCAAATAACCTTTCAGGTTGTGCGCCATTAAATCCGCTATATTAGGTGAAATTTAGATTTAAGCGAATAAACGGCAAAGAGTTTATTTAGCGAACAACAAACTTTCGAAAGGTAAACCGCAAGATATAAACTATTGATAAAAGGAAATAAAAAGGTCATCAAACGTGACTGTAGCTTTAATGTGAATTCAAATAAATTTTATGAAGAAAAATTAGATTATAGGCTTATGTGTCCGCATGAATTGTTGTCTTCAAACTTTGCTCCGCGTGTCAAAATAAGCAAACTTTGTTCCGCGTATAAAAATAAGAATTCTAAAAGAAAATTACCGAACACTCTCATTAGTTGACTAGCATTTATTAAAGAATATAAAGATACATTTAGTTATAATTAGTTTTCAAACCTAACGTGAGGGCATCGCATGTCAAAGAGACTGATCTTCAGTGCTTTGAAAAACTTGAAAAAATTTCTAATGGAAAATGAATTTGGAGTACCGTGTTTAAAAATTATACAATGGCGCACTTTTTTCCATTGAGCAGAAGCATAAGGGAATATTTTTCAGAAGTAAACTGTAGGTATGACTAAATAGAAGTTCAGTTCGAGTACTACGCCAAATTAGAAGGCTTGCCAGTGAAGGAAAGGAGAAAAACGTATCGCCATATCAACAAATTCGACTTTTGAAATGTTGTTGCTTGAATTTAGATTTTAAAACTTTTGAGTTGCAGATTCATGCGGAATAACTAAAAGTTTCTCCCACAGCTACGTAAGCATTTTAATGTATTCGGAAAGCCGTATTTGGTTAATCTTTGAATTATGGTAACTTGGCGATTTTTTGGCGAAAATTTGGCGACCAACCCTGTTACAGCAACCTGCTAGTTTATGTTTGTTGACTCCATTTTGTTTTCACGAAGTAAAGGCATGTTTTTTTTTTTCTTTATTCAACATTTTTTTCCAACAATCTGCTAGCCGAATTACGCTTATGCTAGAACTTTTATGGAACAAACGTGCTTAATCATGACTTAAATTAGGTGCGAAATTGGGCGAAAGTGCAGAATTGCAAACTGCTTGCAGCGTTTTTAAGAATTGCACATACAGGGTATCATCCATGTACACGTCGACCTATTTTTACTTAAGAAAACATCCCAGAATTGCACAAAAATGGCATTGCGCACACTCTTGACTTTATCCATGTACACTGCTAAAGTCTGCTAAGTAACCTTTATCGCTTTACCAAAATGTCGCCAAACTACCTGTTACCATATTCCAAAGATTAGCCCCGTATTTAAGTGAAAAATATTTCTCGACGTATGTGGCATCGGAAAAAAGTATAAAAGCAAATTAAATGCAAAATATGAAATGCGACAGTAGACGTCGATAGAGGTCGATTTCGACGTTTGTGTAAAAATAAACACATGCCTGTTGCTGAATATAATGCCATGGTAGGTGACAACTGAAGCCCAAATCAATGCAAATTAATTTTATGTTAAATTTAAAAAAAGGCCATATTCTTTAATAAAGTGTCTATAACATGTGGATGTACATTAAATACTACTTTACGACAGCGGTTCTGAACATTTTGACTAACGCGTACCATCTAAACAAAAATTGAATATCTTTAGTACCGCCACTATAAAGTAGTACACCACCACTCTTGTAGAAAGAACAAATCGCAAAAAATTTACAAGTGTTAAGTGTAAAAACATCATTCAGGATGTTGAGGTTTCAATTTTTGAATTTAATAGTTACTTTGCTTCTTTGCGTACCACCTATTTTTCTCTTGCGTACCGCCGGTTGAGAATCCCTGCTTTACAACATAATTTCCCAAAGGATGGGGTTCCGCAAAGAAACTTTATTAAGGCCTCAGTAAATCGACAAATTCTGAAGACCATTGCTTTAAATTAGTACACCAGTAGCCGAGCGGTAAAATACCTAATTACTAGCTATTCGGTCCAACGTTCGAATACCATGAAGGCTGGCTGCATGGGAATTTTCTTGGTTTTCCCCATGTGTAACTTATTAATACGAGCTAGTTTCCTTTAGAAAAGGTCATACATAACGGCATCCCTCCCTTCTGTAGTGTCTTGGGAGGAACACTTAAATAATTGCCTTAAATTAACTGGCTGTGTTTTAAGACTTTACAGCAAAACAAGACTTTGATAGAAATGGAAAATGTTTTGAGTTTTTAAAAAGCCTGTTGAAAAATAATTTAAAGTAGCCAGGTACTAATTAATAATTCACATTTTAAATTTGTAAATCTTTCATAAAATATTACCAAAATGATACTTCGTGTAACTGGTGTACCACTTTACGCGTTGAAAGTTCTTGCATAATTGAGAATGGTACTTTTCAATTGGAGACAAAGGTCGTTGTCAATCGTATAGTCTGGATAGGAATTTAAACTTAAATAATGACCTTAACAATGTATTGAAAACGTATCGCGCTAGTAATGGACGCATAAACATGGATAATTATTTGAAAAATACTTCAGTGAATAAAGTAAATGGTCGATTCCAGATTCGCAGTACTTTATTTTTGTGGCGTGATTAACCAAGAAATATTCCTTGTAATTAAATAAAAATAATTCCACAAAAGTAGCTACCTAATTTCACCTTCTGGCTGTTCGAGCAATGGTTTTCGCCACGAACAACTCATTCATGAAAATCTAATTGTAGACTCTTCCTCACATTGTAAATGCCAAATTGTAAACTTAATCTGGGTTTCAATGCCAGTCTCTCTCAAAAAATGTCTTGATTCAAATTAACATAAATCGGAAATATTCTTGATAATTGGGAACAATGTCTTGAAAACTTTACACTACCAGTTATTTTGTGCAAGTACATCAGAACCCATTTTATCTCTAAGTGAATAAAGCTTGATAACAAAATTAATGGCGAAGTGTATTAAAGCTATTTATTTTTCAAATTCTTAGTCGTTACACACCAAGAACGACGATTTTTAAAAGGCATTCATTATACCGTTACTGTAACCTTTATCAATAATAATCTTCGCTGACTTGAAAGAGCATAAAGTGTTTTGTTCGATTAAAGAAAGTGTTCAATTTTTATTCAACTTTAGTTACACTGAAAATGTTTCATCTTAAGACTTCGGCAATAATTTCCTTGTTTTAATAGAAATGGATTATTTTGAAAATGACTTGCTTCCAGAATAAAATGGGAGTTACTTTTTTGAAATTATAAAATCTTGCATTAAATGCAATAAAGTAAAATGAAAATATTCTAATTTTCTTTATTTCAAATACACATTTTGCCTCTAAGAATACTTAAGAATCTGGATTTTTTAAATATTCGGACTTAGAGTTCAAATTTCCTTAAATGTGTTTCTCTGTATAAGCATCTACTGTAGTCTAATTTGCTTACTTAAATGTACCATCATAGTAAATGCGGGTTTTAGCTTCGAAATTGGTGTCGTTTAATATAACCCACCAGAGATCGAGCGGATAAGACCATTAAACGCTAATTCGATTGGTGAACTAGCTGATTAAATTTGTGGGGCCACCAGAGGCCGAGAGGTAAAGTAGCTGAACACTGGCAGTTCGGTTCGGCGAACGGACTGGAACTGGCTTCTTGGGCGATTTCGTGGTTTTCCCCAAGTGTAACGTGTATAGTACAGAGCTAGTTTCCCTTAGCCCTGTATGAAGGCATCCGTCCCTTCAGGCAAAGAGCCTTCAAGGCTTTGCCTTAATCGCATAAACGAAACCATACCTATTTTCTGCTTTGTAATATGAATGCGATTCCAATTCCCCAACACCCACAACGCGAAGGAACTCTTCCCTTAAGTAGATGGCCACAGTGTATTTTACAGAACTCTTCCAAACCTGAATTTCAGTAGATTAAGATGGTTTTATCGGAGGAATTATTTCGACAACTATGGCAAAGCAAGTGACTAAGCACTTCTAAAGAAAGGCGATAATTGCATGGAATAGGATTTACTGGAAAGTTGGGCAGCTTGAAAATGCTAAGAGCTCCTATACACTGAAATTAATATTCTTTCTAAACGATCAGAAATATTTCGCGAAAAAATGCGAATGGTAAATGAAAAGTATTTTAAAGATGTCATCATTTCAATCACTTGGAGAAATATCTCAACATAAATTAATGAAATATAAATGAATAAAAATTTCGTCGGATATAAAAGGAAGACCAGCAGAAATGATAACTTAACAGATTAGATGATTTAGATTAACTCTTCAAATACTAGCAAAACCAGGAGTGAAGCAGGTTGTGCGAATAAAGGATTCGGGGAACCTTAAAGTGCTACGTATTTCTTCCATTTACTGTACTAAAACTTTCACACAATGAACTTTGAGCCAAAATGCTTAACATTTATGTAGTTCATTCATTAGGTGTTTCATAAATACGCAGCTAATGTAATAGCCGGTTATTTCAGAAAAGGTATTTCAATATTAACCGAAAACTTATTTAGAAGTTGGACTGTAAGACGACACTTCCGATGTACCACCGATATTACCAGCCATAACTCGGCTCTCTTGCTTTACCGCAACCCTAGAAGTTCTTGAAAAGATGAGATTTTCTTTTTGCTAATACTTTAATCTTCAGGGGAAAGGGCAAAATAATAGGTGTGGTCTTTTTAATAAGTGTTCACTTCATTAAAGCAAGCTTATACATGCCTTATGATTTGTGTGCTAAAATTCCAGTCAAAATATTTTCTGGACGGCGTTTATTCAACTGTTAATGTTTACTGAATTATTAGGCGTTTATTAGATTTGCCAAGAAATGAACTGAGAACATTCCATTATTTTGCAGTTGATTATTTTTTGCCAAACACCTGCGCGTGTTCTATTCTTACGCTAGGAAACTACATATGGCGAAAGTTTACAGCTGAAGTATATTAAGGGGACTCATACACCTTAAAACCCATAAGATGTTCGAATAGGTGACTGTCGCAAGAATTGGGATAACTTATTTATTTTAAAAGCAATTACTACCAACTTTTTACAGATGACTACATAATATACCTGCTTTCTGAAATAGTAATCAGAAAATTTGTGTTGCCACAAATATTTTTATAATTTATCTGCTCTGTGACAACATTTTCGTCATGTTTCCAACTTGCGCGCACAGTTTCAAACATTAGTTTCATAATTTAATTCCATATTTAATATTAGCTATTATAGCATTTGAAATTACTGCGAAACCTAAAATTAAAAAAATTTCATGAACTCAAAATAAAATAAAATTTAAGTTTATAAAATGCATTTTATTAACAAAATTTTTAATGTTTTCGTCCATATAATTTTTCAGTATTAAAATATTCATCGGATTGTTGGTTCAGTTAGAAAGTAGTGCCCATATAAAGAATTCCATCCAATTTCAAGTTTGTACCATTAGCCATTTTTAAAATATCATGCGCGCAAGGTGGAAACATGGCGAAATATTTTGTCACAAAGAGGATTAAATTACAAAAATATTTGTGGCAACAAACTTTCTGGTTACTATTTTCCAAAGCAGCTATATTATGTAGTCAGCTGTAAAAAGTTGGAAGTAATTGCTTTTAAATAAATAAAATATCTCAATTCTTGCAACAGTAACATATTCGAAGATCATAAGGGGTTTAAGGTGTATGAGTCCCCTTAACACCTACTGACAAGATGTCAAAATAAGAGCTAGGACCTAATTCGAGGAAAGTTTGCTTGCTTTTGAGTTTAGAGAAATTCATATGAAGCCAAGACTGACGGAGTGTGGCAATTTTGAATAGGATCGCCAAAAATAATCGCTATAAAACTCTTCAACTCAATAAACCTTAAATTGCTGATAAAAATGAGTTTCATCAGCTTTTGACAGTACGTTGCTAAAATGTCTTATTTGATGTGAATTTTAATGATATATCTGTGCAAAAATAGCACAGATTTTAATTTCCTTTGCAAGAGATCAGTTGGTTTAGTTTATATAAATTTTTACATTATCTGGTTTTGACTATTCAAATGTCATAATTAGTCTTATTTTAAATTCAGCAAATATAGTAAAAGCTTAAATGTCATTTATAATTCAAATTGCTGAGTTTTCTGAAATTTTGCAGATCGAATTATTTGTGCCGATGTATTAAGGAAATTTTCGTTTTGCTTCTCCTATCTTCCTATGATTTAGTATTTATGGGATCAAACTGTACAGCTTTAAAGTTTTTCTTGCTTATCGATGGTATATTTCAACATTTACTTGTTTTTCAGGAGCTGCAAGATGTTATTGGCCTCAGTTTACTTGCGATGATGGTACGTGTTTACACTTTCGCAGGTGGTGCGACTCGCGAGCGGATTGTGAAGATAGTTCTGACGAGAAGTATTGCGCCCTAGTCACTGATAACGACGATGGTAAGATTAGGAAATTTAATATTATTACACATGTTTGGTGGAAACCGTAGTATTTAACACACTTAACCTATAAATAAAAATCTGATGTGTACACCACATGACTTCCTTGTACGGAATATTAAATTATACCCATTTTTTTTTCTTGCATTTCGTTTAAACTTATTGGATTTAATTAAATCTACTTCGCCGACAGCGCATAAACCACAATAGAATAAAGGCATTCTTTAAAATTCACTCTATTTGTTTAGCATAGTGACACTCTGGCGCGAGGTTCACTTAATAGTATATTTCTTTCATATTATAACACAAAATGCACAAAATTTACATCATTTAAAGAATTATTTAAATGATATAATTATTGAATTTATATCGTTAAAGAATTATCTAATTGTTGCCACATGTTCTTTCAAATACTATAATAAAGCTAGAACATTGTGTAAAAGAAATTAAGCAAACAAAACAAAAAAACTGTTTTCACAGACGATTGAGTACTTCTCATTCAATTAATTCAGTTCTCACTTCGCGACAAGGCAAAAATACATAAAAGCTCGAAATGTCTGTATTAAAAATTACTAATTATTAAAAATTTAATTATTAAAAATTAAGTAAATCTTAATCCTTTCTGGAATTTTTTAAGGAAATAAGTGTTTAAAGCATTATTTAATTCGCAATAATAAATGAACCTCAACCGGAAGACAAGAACAACATAATTCACTTTTAAAACAAAAAATGTACAATTTACAAACATATAAGAGTAAAGAAATAGATCACTGAACCGGGTAACAGAGTGGATATATATATATTTATATACGTTGGTGCGGCCCGATTGCAACCAAAATACGAGGTGCACATCTGCATGTTATAGTAGTCCTATATACAAAATTTCAACGTTCTGAGGCTACTCGTTTTTGAGTTATGCGAGTTACGTACATACGTTCGTACAGACGCCAAGAAAAATTCTCTTCAGAATTCATTTTAAAGCAGTTTTATAATTTTTTTGGAGGGAACAAGTTTTTATTCTGTCCTTACGTACAGATATCGCGCAAAAACGTCGTTAAATTGCATTCGATAGCGGTCAAAATGGATATTTTCGTTGAAATATGTTGCCTGAAACTTTTCGCGATTACAATACTTCCTTTTTACTTCGTACAAGAAAGTAAAATTTCAGAAAGTGGTATGTTTCCTCCAATTGTTTTTTTGTATCAAGGTTCATTATTTACAAGGTTTATTTTAGGAAATTGCAGCAGACATCTGAAAGAACTATTGAACATATTGACTCGGGGAGCGGAAATAATTTAGATGGGTGTATGCAACTGCGTTAAGAGGTTTATCAAAAAGAAATCAGATTAATATGCTTCTCAAATAACTTTCGTCCGGCATGCTAACCTTTCCAATTGTACTTAATTTTTTATTGCGAAATTTTAGCTCGTTCGATACTTGTATAAATTTTAGTTTAAAGCACCTTTCTTCAGATACTTGAAATGCAAAAATGCATTTAAATGATTCAGAGCGCACCTAATATAATTGCTTATTTTAGGATGACTCAAATAATTTCTCAAAGGAATGATTACTAATTTAGTACAAAGATAAATGTACCATTGCATTCTTTTAATGTGCCAGCAACGTAATTGAGTCTCTTAAATGTATCTGTGATCTCCTAAACAAGAGAACTATAAGGAAGAGGAATTTTTTATGCACAACAAATACATTTAACTTATTCATGGGATTCTAATGCTAAGTATAGATATAATCAGAGCAGTCGCAATGTATATTTTGAATCTTTCACGTTTATAAACAGATTATGTTAATATAGGCATTCACATGAAAGAATTCGCGATTCATTGTAATGTTCGCACTTATTAACAACCTCTATAAAACGTGTGATTTCAAATTCTGTATCTATAAATAGTAGATGAATAATATCAGCTACTACTCTCAGCTTCAGTTATTTTCTCGGGGTAAAGGACGATAAAAATTCGTTAATAATGTTCGATACAGATAATGAGTGAAATTTTCGATTAACTGAACAAAATGCAAGCAATAGCTTTAGAGTAGCATGCACACATATGAGCGCTTGCAATAATTAAACGTTAAAAGAGCAGTAAAAACCCAGTGGTCTGTTATAGAAGGAGTTGTCCATACACCGCCAGATATTTACTAGTGCATTTCGTTGGCACTAGGTTAGTTAAATAAGTTTCCCGACTTTTATTGTCTGAAGATTTCGTTCAAATTTCAGGCCGTTATTCTTCGTTTCGGTGTGCTGTTAATTACGAAGCCAACTAACTTTTCTTGAGCCAGTTCCTGGTCTTGTTATTTAGCAGTTATGCCTTTTCTATGGCACATTTTCGGTCATGCAGAGTTTCACTGCACGAAAGGGACAATTCTTGATTTGTTGAAAAATATCCCTGGCTGGAAGCAACGGGTTACTTACATTTCCTTTCTCGACAAATCTAGAAAATGGAGTGAGTGAGTAACGGAGGACGTGGGCACCATCTCTCTACCGTTACGGTTAATTGGTATGAGCACCACGCCCGCCCTTATCTAGAATGACATAATTAGGTACTTAAATTATCGCTACCCATTCAGACTTGCATGGTACATATTGCCATACTCTGACTTGCACGACTATTACACATGCCGTACAGTATTCGGACTTGCTTATTCATACTTGCATGGTGTATTTACATTCATATTGCATGGTACATATTTCACACATTTCATTACACATTACATTTACTGGGAAATTGAATATGACTTATGTTTAAGGTTCTTTGCATTCGTAAGGTTCAATATATACGTTAATTATACATGATTATACTTAGGTTAACTCTATGCATTCGTTATTTAGACTTGCATGGTACATATTACACACAGAGAGATTGATTAATACTTATGTTAAAGGTACTTTACATCTTAGGTATTTAGGTTAACACATAGTTTAACACTATGCATTCATTATTGTTTACAGGTTTGCATGGTGCATATTATATACATTATAGTACAGCTTATATTTACTGAGAAGACTTGCATTGTACATAGTTCACGCATTACATAATACAATTACATTTCTAAGAATTTATTATTATTAAATAATATTAATTAATACTTGCATGGTACATATCATACACATTTCATAGTGCAGTTTACATTTACTGACAGATTGATTAATACTTTTGTTTAGGGTACTTAATATTTATGTTTAAGGTACTTTACACTTGTTTGATTCAATTCTTACTATAAGTATGTATAGTTGGGTTCTTAGGTTAGCACATAGGTTGGCTTTACGCATTATTATTTACAGTTTGCATAGTACATATTACACACACTGGTACATATTATACACATTAAATAGTACTGTGAATATTGACATGGTACATATTACACACAATTACTGAGACATGGGGTATATTTGCATGGTACATATTACACACATTTACAATTTACAGTTACAAAAAAAAATAAATAAAAAATAAAAAAATAAAAAATCTAGAAAATGGAGTAAAAAATAATCCGAGAAGAAAAGCGCGTGTGTTGAGTGTTTTAAACCCTACTTAACTCTCTGAAGACCATAGCAGCCTAGACGGCCTTTCAGTCGAACGACCACAACCGCCCGAAACGGCCGAAATTCCGATGTTCTTTTCTTCTCTTCCCTAAGGTAACCAGTAGCAGGTGCAGTTTTCCCCAAATGCATTTTGTCAGTTTGTGTTGCAGACAGCTTGTCCTAAAAGGGTTTATTTGTGGTTTATCTTTATTTGTTAGGAAGTAGAAAAGATGACATTTGAAATTTTAACGCTTCTTTGGGCGTTAATGGATGGGGAGGGGGAGGAAATTGCTGCGACTCTCGAAAACCATTTCGGGCGGTTCGGTATTTTAAGCGAACAGATTAGCGAAGGCTTCGGTTTGGAAAGAGTTAAACCCACAAAAAAGTTGAAATTCTCCTATTCTGAAGGCTTTGAACAGCTTCTAGGTTTACTACATATCCTGCAATGAAACGTAGCCATATCATATACAACAGAATTAGGAGTATAATATTGCCAGGTGCCAGCTGATGCCCAGTTACGATCATTTGTTTTAATTTCGAAGTTATATAAAGAGACTTTACAGGTCTAATAGTACTCTTCCCTAAATCTTTTAAATTGTCTCTAGCATGGCGAATTTTTAAACTTAAATTTTAGACTTCGTGCTGAGATTTTCGTTAAAATTTAAATTTGCTAACAATCCCCAAAACCTTCCCGAGCAGTGATGTGTAATTTAGTTCTGTATATCGATAAATGGATTATTGGTAATGTATTCCTGTGCTTCAAAATTTATTCTTAGTGCATTTTTTTAGTTTAATAATTATCAGTATGTAACAGTTTTTAAGAGGAATTGCTGTAAAACATTTCATAATATTCGTTAAAATTTAAATTTGCTAACAATCTCCAAAACCTTCCCGAGCAGTGATGTGTAATTTGGTTCTGTATATCAATAAACGGATTATTGGTAATGTATTCCTGTGCTTCAACATTTATTCTTAGTGCATTTTTTTAGTTTAATAATTATCAGTATGTAACAGTTTTTAAGAGGAATTGCTGTAAAACATTTCATAATATTCGTTAAAATTTAAATTTGCTAACAATCTCCAAAACCTTCCCGAGCAGTGATGTGTAATTTAGTTCTGTATATCGATAAATGGATTATTGGTAATGTATTCCTGTGCTTCAAAATTTATTCTTAGTGCATTTTTTTAGTTTAATAATTATCAGTATGTAACAGTTTTTAAGAGGAATTGCTGTAACACATTTCATGAAAGTGTATAAGTGAAGAATCGCGCACGAAATACTTGTAAGACTAATAAAATGTTTCAATAAAACTTTCGAACTAGCCTAAAACCGTACACAAGTTTTAAAGAAATGTTTTAAAATAAGTATTTTAGTTCAATAATTAACTCCCCAAAGCTAAAAAATATTTGCAATTTTTTTATTTGAAAATAACTTTTTCGCAAGAAAATTTTCATTCCT